CAATGTCTTTTTTGATTACACTCAGTTATAAACTTCCCACAAAGCTACAGTTTCAAGTGGGGTTAAAATGGGAAATCACAAGGCTTGCGTGCTCGCTTCGCTAAGCGACAGAGCGTCTATGTAAATTTGTGCCTGCATCATTTCGGGATGCTTCCGACTTTTTCATTGTCGAATTTTTCATATCAATGTATGCTTTTTAATCCTTGACATCTGGAACGCAAATTTGAGTGGCCGAAAGAAACAAGGGAAAATCATGTTTGGGGGTCACGTTAATCTTATCCGTTGAGCCCCGACGATTTCAAAAATTGACAGCCTTGGACGCAAAAAGAACATTGATCGGGACAGTATGATGTGCCCGAAAATACCCCATTACCGTTACCATTTAAACATTAAATCAAAGCATTAAACATGCCTCTAACTGAAACCGATATCTCAGGTCACAGACATTTGCTTAGAAGGATGTCTCAACAGGCAGGACGCAAACACTTAAAAAGCGTTTTGTGCTATGCCTCATGGTTAACTATTGCTTGTCCAATCAAGGGGCTGTCCTATTGGATTTGCACTGCAGCATAAGCTTCTTAGCATTGTATGTAGCAAACGTAGCAGGTAGTTTAAGGAATGGAGAGCATCCGGGCCAGCAGGTATTCAAATCCGGACCAGCAGGTGCTCAAATCAGGACCAGCAGTAGTTCAAATCCGGGCCAGCAGGTGTTCGAGCTCAAATGTGAGCTGCATTAGTCTCCCTTCGCCCCCCATTATAATCACACCTCATTTCATGACTAGCATGACAGAGAGCCATTCAAACGCCAGCTGTAGCTAGCACGTTCTTTATGCACTCACAAGCGCTGGTGGCTCTCATTCTCAGTAGTGGACCGCCCAGTGATTCACCTGGGGGTCATGGCAGACCGGTTCGGTCAGGCTCGGCAGTGGCCGGCACATGGCAAAAGTGGGTGACGGCTCATGTCGCCGATCCGGTAAGCCGAACGGTCTGAGGCCCGGCACGACTTCCGGCGCATGAAGCATGGGGAGGTGAACCCTGACCGGCCACACGCCCCTGGTGTGGGGCTGTAGCCAACAACCCGCTCCGGTTAACGTCCCGCTCCGGTTGAATTGCAAACATCCGTCGCCGGAGGTAGAGTGCCCTGCCACGTCACGTGCGTGCCCTGTTTCACATCACCTGTCCTAGCTGGGATGGCTGAGTTGCGTGCTCCGGAATTCTGACCTTTTTTGTCATGGTATCAGATGATAGTAACAGACTGAGAGTGGCGTGCCGATGTCGAGCTACGGACCGGTGAGCGGGTCAGTCGGCCCCGCTCTTCCCGCCACGGTGAGAGGCAGGCGATGCCACATAGCGTCGTGAGCTGGGCGCGTCTCACCTGCCACGGTGAGAGGCAGGCGACGCCATGTAGCGTCGTGAGCTGGGTGCGTCATAAAGCAGCGATGGCGATGGTAGTTTTCAGACGGTTTAAAATGAGCCAAAATGCTGCGACTGCATCTGCAGGAAGAGCGCACGCCACGTTTTCATCTCTCAGTAAAACGAGGTGGAATGATTTCGCAACAAGAGCGTCTAGTCCACGACACTACCAGCACCATCGAGACAGACTTAACAAAATGGCCCCATCAGTCTTGTTCTGGTCTGACCCCACACCTGGTCATTACATATGATTCGGGACTTTCTGTAGCCCCGTGCGCGAACAGAAGCAGCCACTTGCGCAGAAGCATAATGTTGTGATATGAACCTGGACAGAGACAGCCCTTTTGATGGGAAGGGGGGTGGGGTAAAACGTGAATGCACGAAACGCATTCTATTGCTGAAAGAAGGCACGCTTCTGTCTATATAGACCTCACTTTGATCTTTGACCAGGGTGTGGGATGTAGCGACCTAAAACTGGTGGACCCACGACGAATGGCTGAAGAATGACTGAATCGGAGAGTGAATTGTGGACTTCTTCGTGTGAATGTACGGATATGGTAAGATCAGTCAAAAGTCCAACTAACGGAAAGTCAACCCGACGTTTAAAGTTGTCTGGTTGATCCATGTGCCAAGGAATGCCGCAGAAATTCCTGTTTGCCCATTATTGCGTAATGGCCTGATTTCGAGTGCAATTTTCACTTGTTAACGCACACACGGTCGAGATAAGCCTCCGACGCTTGGTCATATTGGTTTTGTTTTATTGTCACGCGCACTGGGAGAGCAAACTTTGGAAATGTAAGTGGAGAGCAGCAGGGCACAGCCCTGATTACGAATGGATAGTAGATGGGCATAGATAGGACCTCACGAGTAGCGGGTGGGCTGGTTCGAGAGAGCCGTATCGCGGTGGGCCCGCCGCAGGCGACCTCGCGAGGCTCAAGAGATGGGCTGAGGAGTGCCGTCCTGATGACTTAAGATCAGACCAAGATACACATAACCACAACATGCCGCTTCAAAGCGGCTTTGAAGAGTGCATCGGAAACAAACATTCGTGCCTCGATGTTCCCCTCCGATGAGCAGCATTAACCGCAGTGCCTTGCTCTCCTGGACAGCTCGCGACAAGGCGAGGAGAATGTTAATCTCAGCCTACCCAATCCTCTGAGAAGCACAACTGTCTGAAACGCTCATGACGTGTGAAACCTGCACCACAGTCCGATGCCCGCCATCACAACCAACGTCCAAGATCCTCATCACCACACAGATTTCATTTTGAGCCAGTTATAGCTTTAAGCTTGCGATCATTTTCAGAATGCGCAAAAGTATAATTCCAATTAACTAATCAAAGGTAAATCGGCAAAAAGTCCTCCCGCGGAATCACGACAGTGATAGTATTCGGTAAAAGTGAACAGGAACGGGAGGCATGCAGGAAACGTGGTGAGGATTTTTAGGAGGGACGCTGCAAGCCCATCCTGTTTTAACGTCAACTAACGGAAACTCTTGTAGATAAGACGGTTCGATACCCTCCGGTCAATGGGTCACGCCTTTAACGGTCATAAATCTTAGCAACAGCTGGTTGTAAAGCTGTTGCAGCTTTCAGGAGGAAGAAGCGTCGTTCTTTGAAAGTTATATTGTGCTGTTTTCAATGTATTTCCCTGCAGCCTGTATCATGGGGTTGAATGTTTCCAGCAGTATTGCAGCGCCATCGAAATGTTACCTGCCATTCAATTTACGTATCACTGCCATAACATTTGCTGGATGCAAAACGTTTAAGGACACGGCTCAAAGGCTCAAAACCGGGTCTGCATATTGACAACCCGGGGTGGCCGAAGCGTGTTACGACAGCGTTTGGTGCAGGAAGGGAACAGCCATCGGACGGCCAAGAATGGAAGCCGCTGTGTGCAGCCGGTCATGCGTGCTCAGCGTAAATCGCACCTCGCGTGTGTGTCGTTACAGAGGCTCCTTCAATGAGTTCTGTCAGGTCTCGACAGCAACAGAGGAATTGTCGGCCAGCGTAAGTCCGCTGCATCGCGCAGGTATGTCATCTCCAAACCGTCAGACGAGCTCAACAATGTCCGACCCGTGGCCACACGAATGACAATGAACAACAAATCGGGCTCATAGTCCGTTGCAGTGAGGCCGTTATGCGCCCACGAAGTGGGCGCGCGCGGAGATGGCAGTGGCGCCGCACGTCCAGGTGGAACACACAAAACCAGCGGCCCTGCCGAACACCAGAACACCCTCCATCACGCGGAGTCAGTATCACCGCACCTGAGCGTGTACCGGTGCCGGCACCCCACCCGGTGAGCAGTCGGTGGCGCTCCGTTACCACCCGGTCAGTGGAGCCGCATGCCACCTCCTCCAGCGTGCGGAGTCGGTACCACTGTAGCTGGGCGTGTTCCGGTGCCGGCACCCCACCCGGTAGGCAGCTGGCGGTGTTACTTCACGACAAGATAACGGCTGCCTTCAAAAACGCAAGTAGCTCCCGATTCGCGTAAAACAGTGTGATAGCTCAAAATTCTAGGAAAAGCGCCACAACGAGTCCTACCTTCTTGCTTGCAGAGGCTTAACTCACAAAACAGGACAAAAAGTTTCCTATTTCCTTGCTTCAGCAAGATCGTTTCTCTGCGTCTCGGCATAAAACTAAACATAGAAGAAGTATTGGAGTAACGTACTAAATTGGGGTGGATTAACAGATTATAAAGTAGCGCAAGGTTACCTGGCCCCTAAGACTTTTTCAGGTGACAAGTACGTTGCTCCGATATTTAAAAAAACACTTTTTTGTTTTATGTAGCAGCGTAGCGGACCGTACCCCCATTATATCAATGAAAGTGAGACATCATGTCTAGCGATATCATCTCTCAAGATAGCAAGAAGTCATGTCTAGATTTTTGCGTTGCATAGATAGCCACCATCGTAGACGGCCTATCAGCGAAGATTAGACATCCCAAGTGTATCAGTACAGAAGCCTGCTGTTGGCCTAAAACCCAATATACTGCCCCTTTCTATCGCGTGCGTGTTTTTTTGTAGAATTGGTTTATCAATAATTTAATGGAATTGATAGAATTCATTTATTATTTTATAATGGTTTGCAAGGTTTGCCCCAATTGCATTTCATTGGAAAACCCATCCACAGCCAAGCCTGCTGCATTTTTCTAAAACTCCAGTCTAAAGCGAGAACAAACCATCATTTCTCCAAACGATAAATAAAAAAACGATAAATAAAAAATCTATCTGCTTTTAATCGGCATTGTTATCACGGGAGAGGCTGTCGCGTCACACATTTAAATGCCATGTAATCAATCCAAACACTAAAACCGTCCCGAAAGGCGCAGCACACGGGGTTCGACACTGACAGCACTGGTGTTCGCGTCGGCGTCATGCCTGAGTGAGCCGATCGGCGCCCACCGTAGTATAGACCTTTCCCTCGCCTTGGCGCAAGCCTCCCAATGCGCATGCAATCCCCGCGCGATTGCGAAACACGCCGCCGTTGCTGGTAATCTCTGCCGCGGCGAGCAGGCCTCTCTCTCCTGCAGAGCCGCCCCGCGAGCCGCCGCCACAGGACCTGTTCGCCGCGCGCGGCCGCAGGAGGAGGGAGGGGCCGCTGGAGCGGGCTGCAGCTGGCCCAGTGACCTGGCGTCCGTCGAGCGGGTCAGGCGAGCGGGACAGACCGGCCACGGGTCACCGCCCTGCGCCCTCGGCCGGTTCCGGAGGAAACGACAGAATGCAGCAGGCGGGCGCGCTGCTCCGGGCCGGGGTCAGTCTGGCTTTGGCGGTGCATCTCGGAGCTTCCGACCTTGCGCTGGCTGGAGATTCTTGAAGGTGGGTGGCGGCCGTGGTCGCTGCTGCGGCTTCGCGGGTCTGGCTGTGACCTGGCCTTCAGTTCTCCTATCTGTGCTAATACTGATTTATATGCGCCCGAATTCAGGTGTGTTCAGAATGGATGCCGGTGCCCATCAGGTGTGCTCAGAATGGATGCCGGTGCCGATCAGGTGTACTCAGAATGGATGCCGGTGTCGATCAGATGTGTTCAGAAGGGATGCCGATGCCAACCAGGTGCCAATCTCCATGTCGCCAAGGCGCACCATTTTACGCTGTAAAAATGCACGGGTTGCAAAAAGTATGGCTGCTTACCAGCTGACAATCGCATATCAGAACGATTTTCTAAAGCACCATCTGACATTGCGATTGAAGTCTCTGGTCTCTACTCCCGCTATGCTGGTCTTAATCGTCATCGCATTGTATGTGCAACGAATCTTGAACGGCACATTCATTACTTGAGGCTAGCATAAACACCTACGTTGTATTCAATCAGTTTGGAGAGCGTGTATTGCACCTGATCTACCTTGGGATGATATGCGCAAAATGACCCGAATTAGCTGTTGCAAAACCATTTGCGCCAGTCGCGTGCCTGCCCTGGATGCTGCAGTAGATAGCCGACAGAAAAGACTGAGTCTCTCTTGATCAGCATGTCGTAAGTCATGAATACTGCAGATCTCAAGAGCCGATCTCAAGTATGTCGCAAGCCATCCCAGTGGACCCGAACCCGGCACGTAATTCACTGTCGGACTAGGACAGATTAGGCTGTCTTTAAGCGCCACAGGGTCCCACAGTTACTGAGCTGGAACGCGAAGCCTCGGTTCTGAACCGGACCGTTTCGCACTGTCACGGTGCCGACATTCCGCATTCTGTTTCCGAACTGGACCGCTTCGCACTGTCACAGTGCCGACATTCCGCATTCTGTTTCCGAACCGGACCGCTTCGCACTGTCACGGTGCCGAAATTCCGTATTCTGTTTCACGTTTCTGTGCGTTCGGAGATGATGCGACCGCTTCTTTTGATACAACATCATGTTACAGACTCTGATAGGCGTTGGTCATGGTGGCCTCGTCCTGTTGACCATGCATGTCGTGGGTCACCTACGTACAGACGTACACACAAATACACTTCGCACATTAAAATCGCGCGTGCGGTGCGCTCTGGTGCTATGAGGCAATGCCTATATATATATATATATATATATATATATATATATATATATATATATATATATATTACTTGGGCTACTTATCAACAGTACGTGTTCATTTCAACGACTGAAGAACATCTATCGGTTCCTGACAACTCGCAGTTCATGCCACACTTCTTGTTGATCGGGGATCTAATTAACTGGGATATTGCTGGAAGACCTCGCCTGTGTCTGCGTCACTTGTTGATGTCGGTGACATGCGCAGCGCTGGGAGACGAGTTTTTGTCACGCACCGTGGTCAGGGACACCTTGTCAGCGTTTTTGTCAGCACTGGCTTTCAAAGTCAACGAAAGCCTTTATACGGGTCTTGTTTTTAGCTGCCCTGCTAGGTTTCACTTGCGTTCGTGTCCTTTTGCCTGCCGTCGCCCCGCAGACGTGTGGCGTTGACTTTCATGACACTGGAGACAAGCTTAGCTATACTAACATTTGGTCCCGCATGGCTTGTATCGTATATCTGGGTCGGCGCTATTCCCGTTATGATGCGTCGTAAAAATGCGCTGAAAGGGCTGTAATAACGATACATCTCGCGAAAAGTTTCATCACAAGCTGAGTCTCCAGCGACGTCCATACATAGACTTTGTAAAAGTAATAATTGCGGAGAAGATGTGCTTGTGGTGGCGACACGCTGTTATTGTTGATTATCTTATGTTGATTGATGAAGTGTGTGCGCACTGAGCCAACTGATCTGTCGTAAAGTACGTATGGTTCCCTTTCACGGCACCTGTTTACTGTATTGGGGTTTTCATTAGACAGTACATGTGCGCTGTGACGTGTGGTCACTTGTGAAGCACGTATGTGCTGTGTCGTAGAGTCACTTGTGAAGCATGTATGCGCTGTTTCGTGTGGTCACTTGTGAAGCACGTATGTGCTGTGTCGTGGGGTCACTTGTGAAGCATGTATGTGCTGTGTCGTGGGGTCACTTGCGAAGCCTGTATGTGTTGTGTCGCGTGGTCACTTGTGAAGCACGTATGTGCTGTGTCGTGTGGTCACTTGTGAAGCACGTATGTGCTGTGTCGTGTGATCACTTGTGAAGCACGTATGTGCTGTGTCGTGGAGTCACTTGCGAAGCCTGTATGTGCTGTGTCGTGTGGTCGCTTGTGAAGCACGTATGTGCTGTGTCGTGTGATCACTTGTGAAGCACGTATGTGCTGTGTCGTTGGGGTCACTTGCGAAGCATGTATGCGCTGTGTCGTGTGGTCACTTGTGTAGTGCTGTGTATGTGCATGTATGTGCTGTGTCGTGCGACTGCGTGTAACATGCCCCTGTGCTGCGTCATGGTTCTCTTATAAAGCGCACATGTATGTACTAACACTGCGCCATGTGTTTACTTACAAGGTGCGCATGTGTGTGTCCGTTACATACGATCCATATGCATCCCATCACATGAGTGACAACCAAGCATCCAACCAGACAGCTTCTTGGAAACACGATGGGCATGTTGTGCTTTCTCACGCAAGAGTGTAATTCCCTTTTTCGTTAATGGGGGGGGGGGGGCTCCAGCCCCTCCTCTCCCCCCAACTTGAGCTTCTGCAACTTTGAGAAAAAGGTGGGCCAAATCCGTAAAAAAACGACTTGTTGGCCTACTTTAGGGCAGATTTCGTCATTTGCACTGTCCAGCCCCTTCCCCCGCCAACGCATTTTGGGGAACTACGCCCCTGTTCTTATGATCATGCGTTTGCACTGTGTACAAAAAACAGCACGCTTCTATACTGCGCGAAGTCGATTTCATGCTTCACAATATCGTGCATTGGCGTGCATTCTGCGTCGTCCCTAAACGTCCGCCATTCACTGCTCCTCAGAGGACCAGGACCAGGATAGCCCGCCGCTGGCACCGCTCGTGACGGTCCAGGCTTGCGACCAGCACCAAGTGGAGCGGCCGGAGAGTCCGGAGTCGAGCCCGCCGCCCGGGGAGCGTGACCCGGTCGGGTCAGGGGCGCCACCATGCTCTGGTGGGCAGTGTTGGCGGCTCTGCTGCCTGCTGCAGCGCACGGCCAGAGCAGTCCGTTTGAACTGACCATCGTCCAGTACCAGCACCCAGTCAAGAAGGCCCAGGTAAGCGATCCGTTTGAACTGGCCATCGTCCAGTACCAGCACCCAGTCAAGAAGGCTCAGGTAAGCGATCAGTTTGAAATGACCATCGTCCAATACCAGCACCCAGTCAAGAAGGCCCAGGTAAGCGATCCGTTTGAACTGACCATCGTCCAATACCAGCACCTAGTCAAGAAGGCCCAGGTAAGCGATCCGTTTGAACTGGCCATCGTCCAATACCAGCACCCAGTCAAGAAGGTCTAGGTAAGCGATCCGTTTGAACTGACCATCGTCCAATACCAGCACCTAGTCAAGAAGGCCCAGGTAAGCGATCCGTTTGAACTGGCCATCGTCCAATACCAGCACCTAGTCAAGAAGACTCAGGTAAGCGATCCATTTGAAATGACCAACGTCCAATACTAGCACCCAATCAAGAAGGCCCAAGTAAACAAGCCCGGCCTCGCTGCTGGCCTGACCCTCAAATCCTGATATAGAACGACCTAATGAAAAGGAAATTGGTCCAATAACTGATCATTACGTATGGAATCCAGAAAAGTTAGGATGGTCTGGTTATAGGACTGAGCTAACAGCAGACAGATGTCATGACGTTCACTAGTTAAGGTTTTGGCCTGCCAGCTGATGTCAGCCAACGTATAACTGCAAGCTGAAAAATCCTGCACTTCTGTTTATTCGCGCCAGGCATGCTATGACTGGACCCGCAGCGGACTTTTGCACTGAGCGCCTTTCTAGCCTATTCACCCAACTGACAATGGCACGTCTCAACCTTCCAGGAGCAGTACATGAATCGAGTAGCGGATGCGATACAGGTGGCAAAGGAACATGGCAACGGCAATGTATTGGTGCTCAACACTGGAGGAACTTACCGACCGATACGCAAGCAGGCGGATGTCCCTGGCGTCACGCCAGCTGCCACGGTGAGATCCAGCGGCCATCTTGGAAAGGCTGCTCTGCGGAGCCGGTGCATGGGCCAAACGCCCCGAGATCTTGATGATTGTGTTTGTCATGATCAGCTTACCTGATATATGGCGAGGGCTTATACCAAAACTGTGCAACGTATTTATCATGCTTTGCAAAGAAATACGAAGAATCCCAGCAGATTCCAGTTGCTGTTTTGTTTTCCGATGCTATTTCGCGTGCCTGTTTTTACGGCTTGCCATCCGGACGCTTGTGAAGTTCTCGTAGCACAATTTTTCATTTTAAGGTTCTTGAAGCCTAAGCCAATCATATATCGTACATGGACCAGGAAAATACCTGTTCCCAGGCGTTCTCCACGAGGGACTTTGACGGCGGCATCGGCTCCCTGATGTCCAGGATCGTCGGATCGTCAGACACATTTGTCGTCTCAAATCTGAAGTCGTCACTGATTCGACGTTTTGCTCCGAAGTCTGTTGTCGTGAGCGTCGGAGGCAAAAAAATCGGAATCGTCGGATACGTCTCCCGGTATATGAATGTAAGAGCTATACTGACGCAATTCCCGATGATGTTAAATACGATAAAACATCTATAGGACATAGGCTTGCCCTCTCCGTTTTCTATTGCCTTCATTTATTCCGTATATTTCTTTGGTATATTCTTACGTCGTGTCGTGTACAATTATGCTCTTGAGTTAATTTCATGAAGTGCTCAAGTTAGCCGTGTAACTTTCCAAACACTACGTCTCTCATCTGTCTCCAAGCACTGCCGCCACCCCAAACCGCGCTCCTCGAGTCAAGCCGCACCGACCTAACATTAGGAAGCATCAGACATCACGGAGCGCCATTGCTCTCGGCCGGCAGATCCTGCTGGCGGGCGGTGGCAGCATGCCGATCATCTCCGAGGTGCCGGCGGTGCGCCAGGAGGTGCGCCGACTCAAGGACAGCGGCGTCCACATCGTCATCGGTGAGCCGCCCTCCGCCAGAGCGGCGGTGCCGGCGCCGAACCTGAGCGGCCGATGGCTGGGCCGAGCGTATGCGACTGAGTCGAACCAAGGCGGTTGCCATCATTGTCAGGCCAAGGCTGGTTGCGGCTGAGCCTCTTCATGAGCGGCTAGCCGATTTAGTTCAGGCAGCTACCCGGTCAGACGATTTGGTGATCAGCTGATGACTAGTGACCAGTGCAGGATCCCATAATTGGTTTGACCCCTGGGTAGAACAGAAGAGCATCTCGGCCTTTTCGAATAACCCAAGATAACCCAACCCATCCTAAGACACATAACATACCGATTTTCGGCGGAGCTATATCATTTTGCTTCCTGGAAACGTAACAACTTTGGGAAATGAGAATGAGAAATAATAACGATCATGATTTTCCGCGGACGAACAATTGGCTGCTTTGGTCTTCATTTGAATGCTCTTAACACCAATTGTCACCAATTTTAAGCCTGTTTCATTACATCTAGCGTTTTGCGATAATATTAAAACCTGAGTGCTCGAATTTTAATCCCATGTAACAGTTTGCAAGCGGTTCCAAACACTACAAATACAGCTTTTGCGGTAAATTCAGTGCCTGTAGGAATGTTCAATCGTGTCGAAATAACTGTGGGAGTAATATCATGCATTCCAAATCCACAGTGGATGTATGTGCGCATGCAGTTGTCAACTGCTCCCAAGCCTACGCACGGCAGGATAGCCGCGTTGGCCATCTCCAGAGGCTAGCTGATCAATTTAAGGCTAGAGGCAGAGACGAAGCTAGCTAGGGAATTAACCTCGGCCTGCCATTTTTGTTTAGATTTATCTGACTTTCACTGTGGCCAGAGGTACCCACGTCAAGTAATCTCATAGCGGTAGGCGTGCGCATTCTGTGCCCGGTCTCGTCAGTGGAGCGTCGGTGCATGCTCGTCTATTGTAGCGCTCCCCCAGAGCCGGCAGCCAGCCTGAGCGCCACTGAACCCTGCGTACGAGACTGGTCGTTAACGTTCCGACGCATCCGCTGTGCAGCCCTGGGCAACGCGGGTCACGACCGGAACGAGGAGATCGCGCGCAGCGTGCCGGACCTGGACGCCGTTGTGTCGGGACCGATAGAGACACGCACCGTCATCACGGACGCCTTCCCTCAGGCGGTAAGGGATCGGGCCCAGCTCGGGATCGCGTACCGCTACGTTCGTTGCTCTGCTCGGCTGTGGTGCTCGTGGGCGACGTCGCCAGAGAATGACCCATGTTGTCATTTTAGGTAGCTGCTGCTCTCTGGTGAATGGACAGCTTTGGGAAACGGCAACTGACGGCTGTCTTCAACGGGCCGCGTGTCTGCTCATTCGTGTGTTCTGGGCAGGACAGTGACGTCCAGTGTGCTGCATGGACGTTTTGTTTAGAATGGCTGATACCGAGAACGGCACACGCCGGAAACCTGTAGCGTTCGGTCTCACCCGTATTTTTGATCCCGCCATTCATTGCCGGCCATTCCTCCTCGACTCTCAGTGCATCTGGTGACCGTCTCGCTGTCCTCAGATCCGACAGCCGTGGAACAGGGTCGTGCCGCTGCTGGAGATCCCCATGGCGGACGAGCATCTGATCGGGGTCACTCGGCTGCTGTTCAACGAAAATAACCAACTCACAAAGGGAGACGGCATGTTCATTGTTGCGGACGGCAGTGAGAAAGGTGCGATGGAGACCAGTCGAGCGGGTGGTGTTGGCGACGGTGGTCTGGTTTGGTAGGCATACAAGGACATGAAGCGAAAAGTTACCTGCGAGTGGTTTGATGTCCTGATACCCAAAACCACATCGCATTAAAGGTGATTTTCATTTTGGCGTCGTGTCGTTAACTTTAAACCAAATCAAGCGAGGCATGTAAAATATACTTTACGCATTACTTACTACAAACCGCCACCAATGGTGCATTACCGTCCTGGCGCGAAGAACCTTAATCGCCTGTTAGTCTTGTAGCAAAGCGACGTACCCGTGATTCCCGTTCGTGACCCGGTGTGTGCGGTGTCCTGTCTAGGCGATATGGAACGCGAGGAGATCCAGCTCCTGGAGCTGGATGTGGTCGAGGGCTCGGGAGGAGGCACGCCCACCGAAGTGCTCCAGGAGTTCAGCTTGGCCGCCATTCAGCAGGTGGTGCAGGAGGCGGCAGCCAATGCCATTCGCCCCCCGCCACCCGCGCAGGCCTCCGACATCCAGTTTGCCCCCGAGCTCAGTGACGGGGTGCTCCTGGCAGCAACGTCCGCTGGCGGCACGACAGCCACCACCGGAACGGCGTCGCCTACCACTGTCACGAACACAAGTGACGAGGCTCCGATTGTGTTCGGCGCGCCCGTCAAGAACGTCAACGCCAATCGGCCAATCACGGTGGAGGAGATTCTGGCTCTCAAGGGCGAGCGTCGCCCAATCACGTCCGCCGAGATCGAGGTGCTGAAGAGTACCCACCGGCCGCTCACCGCCGCACAGGTGCAGGCGCTCAAGGAGAGGTTCACTGCGAGGCCAGCGACCGGAGCAGGTGAGGGAGATGCCGGCCAAACGGCGACGAGCGAGCCGGCGGATAAGGGCGGGGTCGTCGCAGGTGGAGTGGGTGATGGTGGCGGCGACGAGGTGACTACGTCGGCGACGGTCGAGTCGGCGGATGATGGCGGCGTCACTGCAGATGGAGTGGGTGATGGTGGCGGCGACGAGGTGACTACGTCGGCGACGGTCGAGTCGGCGGATGATGGCGGCGTTACTGCAGATGGAGTGAATGATGGTGGCGACGACGAGGGGACAACGTCAGCTGCAGAGGGAGAAGGCAGCACTGGCAGTGACATCGCAGCCCCTGCATCACCATATGTCGAAGCGGAGACCGCAGTCACGAGTGACGTGAGCAGTAATGAGGACAGCGACGCAGCCACAGCTCAACAGGCTGGTGGGGTGGTCAGCGCAGACGAAACACAGCCCAAAAAAGGAGGCGTTGTAAACATCGACGTGGACAAACACACCGGCGACATCGCTGGAGGGAGTCCGGGACATCAGGCACAGATCGAAGAAAGTCCGGTGATAAAAGATGGTGATGAAACCAACCCAAGCGCAGAGACCAAAAATGAACTGAAACCGGATACTGATGGTGAATACGGACCGAGTCATGGCACTGAGGGTGAAAATGAAAAGACGTCAGGAGCTATGGGTGAGAGTGAAGTTAGACCTACCACTGAGGTCGGAGATGCAGCGAGGCCTGCTACCGAAAATGCGTTTGAGGCGATTCCTAATGCTGATGGTCACGCCGAAACGAGTCCCAATACTGTGGATGAAGATGAAGTGGAGCCTGATACAGAAGGTCAGGAGGGAGTGGAGGCTGGTATCGAAGGTGAGGATGTGGTGAATCCTGGAGCTGATGGTGAAGTTAAAGTGAAACCAGGCGCTGTGGGCGGGGATGAAGGGACACCTGCCGCTGAGGGCAAGCCTATTGCTGAGGGTCCTGGTGCAGTGAAGCCTGATACTAATGGTGATGATGAAGTGAAATCTGATATTGAGGATGAAGAGGGGATCAATCCTGGCAGCGGGGCTGAAGATCCTGTGAATACCAGTACAGTGAATAAAGAGAAAGTAAGTCTTACCTCTGAGAGTGAAGATGAAGAACAGCCCATCACTGAAGGCGAAGAAGAAGTGCCCGGTAAAGATGGCAATGCCGAAGTCAACTCCTTGTCTAAGGGTGAAGACGGTGCGAAATCTGATAGTGGTGATGATGACGAAATAAACTCTGATGTCGAGGAGGAAGATGACCTGACACTTGATACCGATAGTGAGCATGCAGTAACGCCTGGCATTGAGAGTGATGATGAAATGAATGTTGCGACTGGAAGTGAAGAGAAAGTGCAGGAAGGCACAGAGGGTGAGGATGAAATAAGGCCGGCTGCCGGAGGTGAAGAAAAACTGCGATCTGCTACTGAGGCTGACGTTGGAGTGAAGCCGGGCACAGGAGTTGAGGGCGAAATTAAACCTATTGCTGAGTCTGGAGACGGCGTGCAACCTAGTGATGACAAAGAGGACGAAATGGAGTTTGTAACAGAGGTTGTTCATGGTGTGAACCCTGGTATTGATGGTGAGTACGAAGCAGTGTCCAGTATTGATGATGAGGATGGAGTGAAACCTATTGAGGGTGAGAATGTGAAGGCTGGCACTGTGGGTGAACACGGAACGAAGCCCAGTGCCAGCAGTGACAGCGACGTGAAGCCTGTTCCTGGGGCTAAAGATGAAGTCGGACCTGATGTTGAGGTTGGTGATAATTTTATAGCCGATATTGATGTAGGGGCTCAAGTAGTCCCCAACACTGACGTTGATGCTGAAGAAACTCCTGGCATTGAGAGTTCTGGTCAGGCGATTTCCGATGTTACGGCCGATGATGAGGGAAATCCTGTGCATGTGTCCAGTTTTGATAGCGAGGATGGAGTGGAGCCTACTGAGGGTGAGAGTGTGAAGGCTGGCACTGTGGGTGAACACGGAGCGAAGCCTAGTGCCAACAGTTACAACGACGTCAGGCCTGTTCCTGGTGCTGAGGATGAAGTTGGACCTGATGTTGAGGTTGGCGAACATTTTATAACCGGTGTTGATGTAGGGGCTGAAGCAGTTCCTAACACTGACCTTGATGCTGAAGAAATACCCGACATTGAAAGTTCTGGTCAGGCGATTCCAGATGTTACAGTCGATGATGAGGGAAACCCTGTGCATGGAATTGATGGTGAATCAATCCCCGAAATTGAGGTCGGTACTGAAGCTAGCCCTGACGCTGTGAATAATGTGAAACAAGAGCCTGTAGCTGAGGTTGAGATGGGCAGTGGCATCCAATCTGATGCTGAGGAAAGCAGCGAGGAGAAGGTAGACCTTACTGACAGTGTATTCGGGTCCGGTGCTGCCGAATTTTTAGATGAAGAAAGGCCTAGTACCGAGGCTGAAGTTGAGCTTGGATCTGGTGATGGCATTAATGATGAAGGTACTCCCCAGATACAGGTTGACGGTGCTGATAGCTTGGATGTCAAAACTGAAGATGAACTAATAACTGTTGCTCAGTTTGAGGGCGGAGTGAGCTCTGGTGCTGAAACTACTGCCGATGAATTAAGACCAGGTGATGATCTTGAGGATGATTACAAACCCATATCTGAGGTTCCGGGAGATATCGGAACTGCTGCTGTAGGTGATGGTGAAACGATACCTGAGACTGGGATTGAAGGTGGCTCCCATGCCGAGATTGAAGCTGACAGGAAGCCTGATGTCGTCGCGGACGGCGACTTGAAACCTGATACCACAGCTGACGATAATGCGACGTTGCATTCCGAAAATGGTGACAAAAAGAGACCTCTTATTGAGCTCATCGGCAGTGTACGTCCTGGCGAACCCACCGGGCCCCAGGTGACGCCCGATTTACAGCTTGGGTCTGCGGTGGCTGGAGATGAAGAAGGCTCCATAACTGATGTCAAGGTTGATGAGGTTACTGTTTCTGTGGTTGATAGCGGTTTGCATCCTGACAGTGGAAACGATGGTGTATTTGCTACTCTTGCTGAAGCTGAGGTTAGCGTGAAAGGTACACCCAATACTGGAGCTAACGCTGAAGTTGAACCCAGCACAGAGGCAGGGATTCAGGAACTGTCAGACAACGTGAATCTTACTACGACCGTGTCCGAGGAAACTATCGACCAAGGCGAGAACCACGGCGGCGAAGACACGGACGAGAGTGAAGTTTTAAATCTTACCCAGGTGGCTGTGGAGCTAGGGGACGAAAGCCATGCCACGGAAGCAGAAAGTGTGGCTGAGCTCATAGGGAGCACCGTGATCTCGACTGAGCCTGAGGGAACTCCCGATACCCAGGTCGAACTTGAACACAATTCAGGAACTTCAAATGTACCTAATGGCAATACTGAAGCTCCTGCTGATCCCGAATATAATCCTTACACCTCCGTGGATCTCAATGGTAATTCGACTGAGCCCGACGACAATTCTGGTGCCACGGTTGAAACTGAAGACAGTGCAGATATCACTGTAGGAAACAAAATAATTATCACCGAGGCTCCTGAGTCTGCAAACGCTTCCAAAGTTCCTCTCGAGCCCGCAGTTAACTCTGAGACACCAGGTGAGTCAGGGGACAAACTCGAGACTACGCTCGTGTCTGAGGACAATACTGAGACACTCGCTGAAGACAAGGACAATCCCGATGTTCTGGTTCATCCTGACGATAAGCCCGAAGCTCCAACTGAGCCTGAAGACAACGCTGAGGCCATGCTCCAATCAGAAGACAACACTGAGGCCATGCTCCAATCAGAAGACAACGCTGAGGCCATGCTCCAACCAGAAGACAGCACTGAGGCCATGCTCCAATCGGAAGACAGCTTTCCTGAGCATGAGAGCGAGGTGAATCCCCCAAACAGTTCCGAGACTCCAGTTGACCCTAGCGAGAACCTCGCGACCGACGTCAGTCATACAAAGCTGTCTGTTGGCATGACAACTGCGAGGCCAGATACGCATATTGGTGGTCTGTTTTGGTACCCAAGCTCCGGCGTACCGCTCTCCTCTTACATGCCCCTGCCTGTCATGTCCCAGTTGGGAGTGCGACCCGAAGTCAACCAGCTGCAGCCCGAAGAGGAACCCGGGGTGAGTCAGGCACAACCTGCAGCGGGACCTGGAGTGGACCAACGGCAGCCTGAAGTGGGTACCGTTGTGGACGAGCCGCTGCTTGACGTAGGACCTGGAGCGGTCCAGTCACAGCTTGAAGTTCGTCCCGGCGTGGACAATCTGCCGTCTGAAGGAAGTCTTGAAGTGAGCCAGCCGCAGCCTGAAGTGGATGGTGGGGTGATCCAGCAGCAGTCCGAAGCCGATCCCGGAGCACACCAACCTCAGTCTGAAGGAAGTCTGAAGGAAGTGGACGAGTTGCAGTCCGAAGATGGCTCCGAAGTGGACCAGCCACAACCTGAAGTGGATCTAGGAGTGGATGAGGTAACGCCTGAAAAGGGTTCCGTAGTGGGCCATCCACAACCTGCAATGGAATCCGGAAATATCGGGCCACAGCCTGAAGTGCGTCCGGAAGTAGACGAGGCGCAGCCTGAAGAGGGTTCCGAAGTGGACAAGCCACAGCCTGAAATGAAACCCGGAATTACCAATCTACAATCTGAAGCGTATCTCGAAGCTGGCGAGATGCCGCCTGAAGAGGGTTCCGAAGTAGGCCAGCCACAATCTGAAATGGAATCCGGAGTGAGCGAGCCTCAGTCTGAAACGGATCTCAGAGTGGGCGAAGAGCAGCCTGATCAGAGTCCCGGGGTGAGCCAGCCACAACCTGAAGTGGGTACCGAAGTACACCAGTCACAACCTGAAGTGGGTACCGAAGTACACCAGTCGCAGCCTGAAGTGGGCACCGAAGTACACCAGTCACAACCTGAAGTGGGTACCGAAGTACACCAGTCACAACCTGAAGTGGGTACCGAAGTACACCAGTCACAACCTGAAGTGGGTACCGAAGTACACCAGTCACAACCTGAAGTGGGTACCGAAGTACACCAGTCACAACCTGAAGTGGGCACCGAAGTACACCAGCTGCGGCCTGAAGTTCCATCCGAAGTGAGCCAGCCACAACCTGAGGTGGGTACCGAAGTACACCAGTCACAACCTGAAGTGGGTACCGAAGTACACCAGTCACAACCTGAAGTGGGCACCGAAGTACACCAGTCACAACCTGAAGTGGGTACCGAAGTACACCAGCTGCAGCCTGAAGTTCCATCCGAAGTGAGCCAGCCACAACCTGAAGTGGGTACCGAAGTACACCAGTCGCAACCTGAAGTGGGCACAGAAGTACACCAGCTGCAGCCTGAAGTGGGTACCGAAGTACACCAGTCACAACCTGAAGTGGGTACCGAAGTACACCAGTCACAACCTGAAGTGGGCACCGAAGTACACCAGCTGCAGCCTGAAGTTCCATCCGAAGTGAACCAGTCACAACCTGAGGTGGATACCGAAGTACACCAGTCGCGGCCTGAAGTGGGTACTGAAGTACACCAGCTGCAGCCTGAAGTTCCATCCGAAGTACACCAGTCGCAGCCTGAAGTGGGTACCGAAGTACATCAGTCGCAGCCTGAAGTTCCATCCGAAGTGAGCCAGCCACAACCTGAAGTGGGTACCGAAGTACATCAGCCGCAGCCTGAAGTTCCATCCGAATTGAGCCAGCCACAACCTGAAGTGGGTACCGAAGCACATCAGCTGCAGCCTGAAGTTCCATCCGAAGTGAGCCAGTCACAACCTGCAGTGGGTACCGAACTACAACAGCTGCAGCCTGAAGTTCCATCTGAAGTGAGCAAGTCACAGCCTGAAGTGGATACCGAAGTGCACCAGCCACCACCTGAAGTGGGTACCGAAGTACACCAGCTGCAGCCCAAAGTTCCAACCGGCGTGAGCCAGCCACAGCCTGAAGTGGGTCTAGAAATGGGCGAGGTGCAACCCGAGGAGAGCTCCGGAGTAGTCCAACATCAGACTGAAGTGGAACCCGAATTTAACCAGCCACAGCTTGAAGCGGGTCCCGAAGTGGGCGAGGTGCAGCCCGAAGAAGGCTCCAGGGTGGACGCCCCGGAATCTGAAGTAGGTCCCGAATTGGACCGGCCACAGCCTGATGTTGGTGCTGGAGTAGACCAGAAGCAACCTGAGGTAGAAGCCGGAGTGAGCCGGCCACAGCCTGCAGTCGGTCCCGAAGTGGACGAGGTCCAGCCTGAAGAGGGTTCCGGAGTGGACCAGCCGCAGCCTGAAGTGGGTCTCGAAGTGGACGAAACAAAGTCCGGGTTGGGCTCCGCACCAGGTCAGCCGCATCCTGACGTGGGCTCAGCAGCAGACGAGCCCCTGTTTGAAGGAGGTCCTGAAGTAGACCAGTCACACCCCGGAGTGGTTCCCGGAGTGGGCCAGAGGCAGCCTGAAGTGGAAGCCGGAGAGGGCCAGAGGCAGCCTGAAGTGGAAGCTGGAGCGGGCCAGAGGCAGCCTGAAGTGGAAGCCGGAGTGGGCCAGAGGCAGCCTGAAGTGGAAGCCGGAGTGGGCCAGAGGCAGCCTGAAGTAGAAGCCGGAGCGGGCCAGAGGCAGCCTGAAGTGGAAGCCGGAGTGGGCCTGAGGCAGCCTGAAGTGGTTCCCGAAGAGGATCAGAGGCAGCCTGAAGTGGAAGCCGGAGCGGGCCAGAGGCAGCCTGAAGTGGTTCCCGAAGAGGATCAGAGGCAGCCTGAAGTGCAAGCCGGAGTGGGCCAGAGGCAGCCTGAAGTGGTGCCCGAAGAGGATCAGAGACAGCCTGAAGTGGAAGCCGGAGCGGGCCTGAGGCAGCCTGAAGTGGTGCCCGAAGAGGATCAGAGGCAGCCTGAAGTGGAAGCCGGAGTGGGCCTGAGACAGCCTGAAGTGGTTCCCGAAGAGGATCAGAGGCAGCCTGAAATGGAAGCCGGAGCGGGCCAGAGGCAGCCTGAAGTGGTTCCCGAAGAGGGCCAGAGGCAGCCCGAAGTGGAAGCCGGAGCGGGCCAGAGGCAGCCTGAAGTGGTTCCCGAAGAGGGCCAGAGGCAGCCCGAAGTGGAAGCCGGAGCGGGCCAGAGGCAGCCTGAAGTGGTTCCCGAAGAGGGCCAGAGGCAGCCCGAAGTGGAAGCAGGAGCGGGCCAGAGGCAGCCTGAAGTGGTTCCCGAAGATGGCCAGAGGCAGCCCGAAGTGGAAGCCGGAGTGGGCCAGAGGCAGCCTGAAGTGGTTCCCGAAGAGGGCCAGAGGCAGCCCGAAGTGGAAGCCGGAGTGGGCCAGAGGCAGCCTGAAGTAGAACCCGGAGTTGATCAACTTGAGCTTGCGGTCGAGCACGGAGCGGACAACCCGCAGGTCAATGTGGGTCCCGAATTGGCTCACGCGGAGCAGGTGGTGTCGCCTGGAGTCAATCCGCCAGAGGTCACGGCTGAGAGCTTCCAAGCGAACCCCGTGTCTGGTGTGACTCAACAGGAGAGTACGGACCTCGACCGAGAGGTGGGCTTCGCCGAGACGCTCATCTCCGGAGAGGTCGAGGACTGCGCCAACTCTGAGTGCGACATGGGCAAGATTATTGCCGACGCCGTCCTCTGGAAGGTCAGTGCGCCTAGTCGAAAGCGTTGCATGGTGTCCGAAATTTTGTTGCTTTCATAACACTCCTATACATGACGCACAACGAATGAAGAAACATAATTGGCGTCTGTATGGTTCTCTAATGGTATGGTATGGATCTGTATGGATCTGGATCTGTATGGATGTATATGGATGGTATGGTATGGTATGGATCTGTAACGGTTCTCAAATATAAGAACCCTTATCACGAAAACCAGCATTTCAGGCTACCAAGGGCATTACTACGTGAGGTTGTCCTTCGATACCCTCCCCCCTTGCAGCGCATTTTTCTGTGTGATGTGCTCCATCTATCCAATGTGGTATGACATTTAATGCTTACTGTTCTCAGTTTGGAAGCAGCGTGGATGGTGCATTTGTTGGAAGCAACATCTTCAGCGGTATTTGGGAAGGTGGGTAAACTTTGAACTCATATCACTGTCTTGCCTCACCCAACAGTGCTTTTGCTAGGGCGTGGCCTTCGTGTTAACAGAAAATGCCGCATTTGTGTCCGGCTCGTGCGACACTACGCGCATCTTGTCCCCATAAGCACTGGCGAGGGAGGTAACGTGAGCTCGCTCTTCGGATGGTGAGCACCATGTTTGGCATGAACCTCGGATTATGCTAAGAAATGGCAATGTTTTGTCGTGCAAATTATATTTAGTGCATATCCAGCGGGATTCGTTTCAAAAGACTATACATTCCTTACTGTCAAAATGAGTTAACTGTTAACAGCGCTTTTCTCCGTTTACAGGTCACATCAGTGATGCTGACATTGCTGCTATAATCAAGAACGATCCCAGGATATCTTTGGGGATCATCAGAGGAGATATGTTTGAAAGGCTTCTAGCGGACCTCGGAGAGATACCCGTGTTCTTCCATATTTCAGGTATGCTATGGGTTCTCCGCCACCGTTTGTGCATCTAATTTGCATTGAACAGAATCTCGTCTACAGTAATCCAAGCCTAACCGCATTGCTATAGATGCACGTTTAATACAACTATCACGTCTGCTCTCAACTTTTTTAGATATCACATTATTCGGAGATATCTAAACGCATTTGTTGACAAAACGGTAAGCAACTCAACTAGCTGAAAGTGTTGTTTTTTATAGCGATACCTGAGAAATCTTTCTTAACCGACCACTCTCATTAACAGATTGCTGGCGACACGAAAAAAGTCCTTCCTGTCCGGCAAATTTGACAGATTCCTGTGGCCCACAGGACTGAGGGTGACGTCAAACGGGGCAACGGGAACGCGGACGATTTCCGTTCTCTGCAAAGACTGTCAAACCGTGGCCTACACCGACATCCACCCCCAAACGGTCTTTGTACTAGCTTTTGTCACCAGCGACGACAACCTGCCTAAGGCCTTGGAACCCATCCGGCACACGGGTGAGGGCTGCCTTCAGGACAGCTTGGGTCACGGTCGGCATGGTTGTACTTCGTACCCGTCTGATGTGCAGATGTTAGGTATAGCCAACAAATCAAAATCTTAAAAAAGATAGGACAGGAAGCGCAGAATCTCACGCAACTGTGAAAGAAGCATGACGTGTCCTGAGAGAGGGAAGATATTGTGTCGAAAAACGAACAATATGCAGTGCACAATTGGTTATCAATGATCCATTTGTTCTGCAATGGTAAAGCATGAATTCCTCTGATTGACTGAGCCTTTCTCCCGACGTGATATCAGACGGCTTTTTCGTTGCGGTTCACCAATCCCATTGTAACCATTTATGTTCCCACAGAACTGTCGCTGAAGGACGACGTTTTGATCCCGTACATCAAAGATTCCGGCATCATCCGAGCGCCCCAGGATCAGCGCATCGTATTCGAGGCCGAAGAGACCGACTTACCCGATACGGACGGTCAGCATACTGATGACCAGCGACCAGCTGGTGAACGCCCGGTTAACCTGCAACCGGCGGAGGGCCATCCTGGAGACAGTCCCCAAGGGACCCACGAGCCTGAGGTGACGCAGCAGGAGAGCACCGACCCAGATCGGATCGTGGGCATCGCTGCGACCCCCATCTCCGGAGAGGTCGAGGACTGCGCCAGCTCCGAGTGCGACATGGGCAAGATTATCGCGCACGCCCTCCGCTGGAAGGTGAGTGGGGTTAGTTGCAAGGGCTGTATGGTGCCCGATACTGTTGCGCTGCTTGTCATGTGTTTGGAATCCTTCCAATGGGCGTTGATAGCGTTCCTGGTCATCAGCATATTTGCAGTCTATTATGTGTTGTTCACCACCATCAAGTGGTTGCATGACATGTAATGTTTGCTTTCTTCAGCTGGGAAGCAGCGTAGACGGCGCGCTAGTCAGCAGCGACGTCTTCAGCGGTGTTTGGGAAGGTAAACATGATGTTCTGTAATTTTACTTTACACAGTTGTCGGTATGGTGTTTTAGCCGGAAGGGAAATTTGTGCGAACTGGGAATGCGCTCATTTCTTCGCAAAATGTTCCCACACCATGCCGTGTTGCCACAGAAACAACAGCGTGATACGAGGGCGCAGCTTTTCATTTATGGTGTTGTGCACATGTAGTGACGAAAGGGGTCGAGAAGAAATATCATTGCCACAAACATGACCGACTTTGGAAATTGTAAAATTACGTATTGTTGTTGAAGTTGTTACCGAGATCATTGCATCGAGGTTGAGGTAGTACATCGTTATCGTCTATTCACATCCCACCGAAACACTTTCAGGTCAAATCCGGGAATCCGACGTTGCCGCCGTAACCAAGAACAACCCCAAAATATCCTTAGGCATGATCAGGGGAGACAGATTTGAAACGCTGCTAACGGAACTTCAGCGGAGCCCTTTGTTTTTCCACATGTCAGGTAAGTTCTGCCCCGTAATGAAAATCAGGCATGGGGCTTCTCACTGATTAGCTTTCTCTCCACACGCCACGTTGTGCTTTACGATGAAAAGGGCAGAGATGAGCAGATGAAATATCTTAAAGCTGTGTTTGCTGTGTAACCATTCCTACAAATTTGGATTATTGTGGGATGAAGGACAGCCAAATACACTGGGCGTCTTGATCGTCTTTTGGGTAATCCACGATCTGGAAGTGCACGAACATGCACATGGCTTTTGCTTCATTCCCTAGTATGTGTATAGAGCTTCTACTCACTCGCAAAAGCTAGCACACTGTTGTGACCAACAGGACTGCGGCTGACGTTAGACAAGACGTCATCAGTTAAGGTTTCCATACTCTGTGAAGACTGCCGGCCGGTGACCTACTACGACATCAACCCCCAAACTGTCTCCGTGCTAGCCTTCGCCACCAGCGACGACCTCCTGCCCGATGTCTTTGAAACTATCCAGCACACAGGTGAGGGCTGTCTTCAATACTATCATAGTCACGAGTGAGATGCTCCATGACGATCTGATGGCGGGATAAAAAGGGCATCTGTTAATCGGAAAGAACCTCACAGGGAGATCACGAGAAGCTATGTAGCTTGCGCGAGAGTAACGTGACCTCTGCTTCGCCCAGAAAGGAATTACATCCAATTCTTTATCGTGGGTCCATTGGTTTCTGACTTCTTGGCACTATCTTCTTTTCGATTTATCAGTATCTCTGACTGATTTGTGACAGCTGTTCCCAGCACTGTCAGACGCATTACAACAATGCCTGTTTGTCGCAGATCTGTCGCTGGAGGACGACGTCTTGCTCCCGTACATCGAGACTGTCAGCATCCTGCGCGCACCTCAGGACGAGCGGATCGTGTCCCAGGCTTCCGAGCCCGACTCGCCGGGTGTGAGCAGCCAGCACACCGACGAGCAGGGGCCAGCTGACGGGTCCCCGGCGAGCCAGCAGCCCCCCGCGGGAAGTCAGCCCTGGGAAAGTGCACAGGCGAACCCGGCTCCTGAGGAGCCTCAACAGGGGAACGCGGACCCCGACCGGGTGGCGGGCACTGCAGACCAGCCGCCGGAGGCCGCACGACCCGAGGGCACTGTCCAGCTGGACGCAGAGACACTGGCTCTGTTGAAGGATCAATACCTGTCAGCGGAGACTCAGGAGCGTCCCGATGATCCAGAGGTGCCTGTAGAGCCGCAGCAATCCGACCTGGAGAAGCTGACCCTGCTGCAGCAGCAGTACCAGTCGACGACTCAGCAGGGACAGCACGGAAACGTAGAAGGCCCCACGGAATCTCAGCAGTCAGGTCTGGAGAAGCTGGCCCTGCTGCAGCAGCAGTACCAGTCGACGGCTCAGCAGGGACAGCACGGAGACGTAGAAGACCCCACGGAATCTCAGCAATCAGGTCTGGAGAAGCTGGCCCTGCTGCAGCAGCAGTACCAGTCGACGGCTCAGCAGGGACAGCAGGAAAACGTAGACGCCCCCACGGAATCTCAGCAGTCGGGTCTGGAGAAGTTGGCCCTGCTGCAGCAGCAGTACCAGTCGGCGGCTCAGCAGGGACAGCAGGAAAGCGTAGACGCCCCCACGGAATCTCAGCAGTCGGGTCTGGAGAAGTTGGCACTGCTGCAGCAGCAGTACCAATCGACGGCTCAGCAGGGACAGCACGGAAACGTGGACACTCCCACGGAGTCTCAGCAGTCGGGTCTGGAGAAGCTGGCTCTGCTGAAAGACGAATACGAGACTGCAGGCGTTCAGACGCCGCCTGCTGATGGAGGTCCATCAGAGTCGGAAGTCCAGATGGACGTACTGAAACTAGCACTGCTTCACGCGCAATACAACCCGCCAGCCCACCCAGCGGGCTCCGGGCCATTGGTGACAGGAAGTAACACCGCTTCGTCACAGCAGTTAACACCGCAAACCAATGTTCATACTCCCAGTGCGCAAACCGCTGCACAAAATCCAGGCGCACAAACCGGTGCACATAATCCCAGTGTGTCTGAGCCCGGCACTGAAGCGAGCTCTCAACCCCAACTTCCTGGTCCCGTAGGTGGCCATGACGGTATTTCCATAAAGGGAGGCGAACATATTTCCGGTGAAAACCAGTTCCAATCTGCGACAGCTGGCGAACCTAGCCCGGCAGCTTTCCAATCCGAAGGCCCGAGGCCCTCGACTCCTCACCACCTACCTGTCCCCTCCATCACACGCCGTCCCCTCGTGCACTACAGCAGGCCGCCGCAGGCCGCTGAGCCCGCCTGGGTCCCACCCACGACGTACGATATAGTCGTGGGGAGCGCTGAGAGTCCCGCCTCGGTGCAGGCGCAACAAGAGGCGCTCGCCGCGTACCAGCAGGCTGTGGCCGAGGCCGTCCAGCAGGCAGTCGCGGGCCAGCCGACGACCGGGGAGTATACGCAGGAGCAGCTTGACACGCTGCTGGCGCTACAGCAGCAGCTGCAGCTCCAGGAGTCGGCGCAGACGGCCTCACAGACAGGTGTGGAGACCTCAGATGCCGACACGGGAGTCTACGGCTCACTGTCCAGCTGGCACGAGCTGACACTTCAGAAGCTCGCAGCGCTGGGCAAGCTGCACGGCAAGCTGACCACCGTGCCCACGCCGAAGCCGCCGGAGACGCTGGCGCTCATCAGCATCCCCCTGGCGCTGGTCATGGCCAGCATCGCCGCCGGCGCGTTTGTGTGACCCGTGACATTTGTGTGATGGCGTCACGCGGCGGCCACGCCACGGTGCACTCAGTGATACTGGACGGGCTGGGCGGCGGCGGGCCGAGCGGCGTGGCGGTGCAGCGTCGCAACACATCAGCTCTTCAAAGACAGGGATTCACTGCTAGCGTTGCAAGCAGCAGTTTTTCAGCTGTGTTTTTGTCTGCATATTCGCATTCTGAGGCAGTCACGCAGAGCGGTGCGACGTCGAGGCACTGTTGGAGTGAATGTGGGTGCGTCTGTCTTCATGTGTGTGTGGTTGTGTGTGGCTGGGTATTTATTGTATGCATATTAAGTAGTATGAAACCGAATACATGTTTATTTATTGTGCGATCGAGAAGGATTCCGGCATCGATAAGGCATCCGGCATCCAAAGACGAAACACGCCTTGGCTCACCAAATAATGCGAATACTTTGCCAGGGATCCACACCCAAACTGCCACAAAGGCGGCAGATCACGGCAGGTCTTTGCGATGCATACTGCAGGAGAAAATATTAGCGGTTTCCAAATAGAGCATACAGAATTAACTCACATAACAACCACGTGGTCTGGTGTTGTCTTGTTATCTTACCGTTTTCTGTCTTGTCTCTAAAATGGGAGGACCATCGCAGAAGTTGTACGCCATGGGTCTGGAAACTATATTCCTCATGCGAATAGTGTTTTGCGTAAAAAATAAATGATAAAAGAAAACCAAGAACAAGGAAAAGATGGTCAACAACCACTCTGCAGTTACAACTTCACCTATACGAACAACTTCATCACCCGATATCCCTTGCAGAGTACACCGCTTACAGCGATGAGAAGACCATCATAATCGTAGCGCGGCATTCGCTGTGGTTTGCCCAACTATACAATACAAAGTATACTGAGGATACTAGGCAGGCGATATTTACTTTGTTCAGAACTAAAACAGTCGTTTCAATGAATAAAATTCAAGCAACGATTCCTTACCAGGCTTCGCTCAGCTCAGTGGTTTGGACGCTTGTTGGCTGCCAACGCACACTGCTGCTGATCAACTTTTCTGGCCCGTGCATTTTATTACAACTGCGGTCTGCGAAACATGCAGCCCTCGTCTGGGCGCTGAAAGACAACGGGCCAACCGCGACCAGAAGAGCCGATGCCGCGGCCTCAAAGGATACCACCGGCCCCACAGATTCCCGCCTGCGCGTGACAGTTGTGGTTCGGACCAATGGTCGGCCCACTTTGAAAGCTGCACTTCCTGCAGAGGCAAATAATAGCCTGCGAGATGTATGTATGTTATGGTGTCGTGCAGCCACTCATGGACCGCTGGCCATTGCAGTGATTGTGTAAGCTGCATTTGACGTGGTTGGGGAAACATATGACAACACGCTCGACGCTACACGAAAACTGACGTTCTCAGCTCCACCTCACCGTACCGCCCGACTCAACCATTGACCGCCCCTCCCTCCCCCCCCCCCCTCCGGCACTCGACTCTCTCCCTCGCTTTTCCTGCCTGAACAATTTTCTCCGCAATGGCCGCTAACTGCGCAGCAAGTAAGTGGTCATGCCTCAACCACTGCTACCAACTCCACTTAATGACGTCACGCAGGTGCTGTACGGCAAAGTCGCACTGCTGATTGGCACGGCACGCTGCAGGTCAGGTAAGCACCCAGAGATCATAGTGTCAGCCGGGAGTCAAACCGGACATCCCGTGTGGCACACGGGCTCTACGCTTGGAGGTAGAAGGGAAATGCACATTTGCTTTTTCGGTGTGCACAGATACTCGTGTGCACGGAGCGAAGATCCTTGATGCACGCATAGATGAATGACAGCAATAAGAGCGGATCAGCCATAATCTTTTAGAGCTTGAAGAAAGTTACGTACGAGCAGGCTCTGGCTCGGACGTAACTCATACGTAAACGCGTATACCAAGGATGAGGGGGCGTCTTTTCTATCACTGACGAAATCTGAAACGGCCAGATTTGTAACCTGGACCCAAATGTATCTGAAACTGTTCCAATACAAGTTTAAAAGCATTGCACAGCACAAAACGAGGAAAATGAAACGCATTGCATCATAAACATAGGCAAAATTACAATAGGAGCCATCCGTTTTCGGGCTTCATGTGACCAAAGCTTCATCTACTGACCATGTCAAGAGAGAGTCCCAGTGGTCAGCGCGTCGGTCTCAGCACAAGGGGTCGGCGCAGCGGGCATAGGTCGATGAGCACGCCGGTTCGGTTCAAACCTAAGACGTCGCATGCACGAAAAAGGGCGAGAACAAGTATGGTCAGCGTCTGTGTCACCACACAAACCACACGCAACAGACCCCATTCACTATTTTAGGACATACTGCGGCAATACCAGTGTTGGAAAAAAACTGTTGCTGCCGGTCTGCTATCAGATCGTACACTTCTTATGATTCAACATAGTACATTATCATTTTGTGAGCATTGCTGCCCTGTTTAATATTACAGCTATGACCGGTTTCTAAGGCTGCAGTCCCTGAAATGATATTCTATACTTTTTTACAGCCTCTAAGTCAAATTTCTAGCTCGTAAAATCCGTATCTGGAAAATACGTACTCCCCAACCCAGACCCACATACCAGAAATTCAACATTTGATTACCTATTTCATGGCCTGGTTTATGTAGATGAAGGGGCAACATGCTTAGTGGGGCTATTGTTTATTTCGGGTTTCGGGTGCTGCGATTAATTTTGGTCGCATGACCATCCTTTTTAAACTTTAGCAAAGCTCTGGTTTCAGCGCCGCTCAAGGAACAAAATCGTGAATTTTTCCATCATCATTTAGGTAGCTTACATATGATAGCCACCCGCAGCCATTATCGAGGTGCAGCCACTTGCACTGATTATGGATGGGTAATGCTCTCGGAGCAGAATGAGAGTTCTTGGGGATAGATGTCCCCAGCCAGCGTTTTCTATATGTGTTACTCACCACGAATGCTATCTTGAAAACAATTTAGCACAGAAACATCGGCATGAAGTTAGTGGGGTTTCATTAGCATTTCATCTGGCATAGTATTTAGTTGAATGGCAATCACCCTATAACACAAGCTTAACCGTCACCCTTTTAGGGGTGGGTGTGGCATGCGACCCCCTTCGGTCTTCTAACGATATCTCTCCGGCATATTGTGCAATCGCGCCTACATTTCCATTAGCCCTTGAGTCAATCTATTATGCATGTTATAAGACCAAAAACGTGCCCCTAGGATTTCTGGTTTTCTAGGAGCGACTATTTTTAAGCAGCACTGCACAGTGGACCACGGTCAGCGCCGGTGACGGGCGGCAACCGACGATTCCGCGGACCGCACACAGTAGGCCGATACTGCTATATTAACGGAGCCCTACAGTACGAACATGCATATAGAATTTAAAAAAGAACACTCGTGTGAAAACTCAGTGCCACTTAAAACGTAATTTCATACAAATGAGCATAAAAAGCTGAAAAGACGATTTTCAGAATATGGCCTTTGGCCTGGCCTAGTGGGGTCAACTATGGACCAAGCAACATCAAACTTGAAGGTCAAAGGACCATGAAGACCGATCGAGGGTTTTCATTTAGACCAATCCACTAGTCGCATCGCGAGGCTCTGTCTTTCGGAGTTTCGAAACGACGTGAGTTGCATGGAGCATAGCGAGCCATTCGCATTAATCAGGGTAAGGGTTAATGAATGAGCCATCACCAAACATCATGTTTGGCATACCCATCATACAGTTAAGATTTGTACTGGTGTAGGCTTAATGACATAACCACAACATAAATTAGGTCAATAGGTAAAGAGATGTGCAAAAGAAACCTAACAGAAACGGTCTGATGAAATCAGATTGTATGCATGCCCATCAGGACTTTCCTGAAGATAGCTCAATGTTAAAGATATAGCATCAACCCCGCGGTAATGCTAAGTAAAGCTGTCTGGCGACAAGTTCACAGGAGACTAACATTCCAATAACTGTGTGTCTAATTGGGGATGTCAATGAAACCATATGACAGACCCTGCGGGGCTGCCAAACGGCATCAACTACACATTAACACTTTGTCTACTTTAAACAGAATGTTCCAAATCCCGTAAGCCGCTCAGTGCATTCGCGAGGAACATTATTCACATAGATAAGACAGATGAAATAGCCTTATTCCTCGGAGAAAAACTAGGATAATGAAAATAAAGATTGGTCGATATTTCGGCAACATGCCTTTATCGAAGCAATAGTACTTCTGCTATTGTTTCGATAAAGGCATGTTGCCGAAATATCAACCAATCTATATTTCCATTGCTCTGGCCTTTCTCCGAGGAATAATGCTATTACTGTTGTCTTATCTATGAGAATGTTCCAAATTTTAAGAAATTGAGGCAGGTATCACTTATGATGAAAATGCTCATTTGTAACTACTGGTATGCTTTTAAGCGCAAAAGACTGCTGCACACAACAATATTTCACGATGTAGCAAATATTTTCCCCAAGACGCGATCGTTTCACTACGTAATTACATCTTTTTGTGACGCCTGGGTCGCTACGAGACTGGCTGTGTCAGAATTGCCACAACGGACCGTCTGACTACGCTTGTACTTCTTCAACTCACCGGAAGTTGGTCTTTTAATCTATGTGCACGACATATACTTGCTGATCATTGCGCTCGCGTCTTTGGGCCCTTTCTTTCCTGTATATTTTCCGTGATAACATACTTTTTATTTGTTTTTCTTCTTAGTTACGGCAATATTCGGAAACTATTGACTAGAAGGACTGTCGCAAATACCTGTATCGTGTGTTTTTTCACCAAAGTATGCCTTATGAGGATATAATTTGCGTTAAGTCTCTATGACTTTATGCACTTCTGAGTGACCCTACACCAATTCGCGTGAGCCTAGCTCAGGAACGAGAGGATCTGAAGCTGCGCCGTAAACTTCAGAGATTGATCAGGAAGTTTTGGCCTATTTATTGCCTGGGTTCGTGAGTGATGCGTGACAACATCCCTAGAGGACAGATATTCACAGTACGTGGCATACAGCAAACAATTTCATACCGATATGGTGTGACCGTTGTCTTCCTTTTAACACCATAACTGTCAGTGGGTTTTGTGCAAAGCCTTCGTTGCTTCACCTTGTATTGATGGTAAAGTTCGAGATACGGCACTATTCCAACGACGGTTGCCCAGATCCCTTCCCTGCCCGCGCATCGCGCACCGTCCCGACCTCGCTGCCCTGTCACGTGACCCACCGCCGCCGGCTACGGGCGGACGCCCGCTGACCCAGGGTCATGCGGCGGCCGACCGGGCCAGGTTCGAGCGCGCCAGACGCACGTCCAGCCTTACACTTGTTTCGGAGTAACTGTTGAAATGGATGACCTCAAACAATCCTTCACACGCATAATGGTAGCTGAGAGTAACTTAATATGGTTGTCAGGCAATAACATACTCAACTTAGCAAGCATCACAGGGGTGTAGCTTTCTCTTTTGTTGGGGTCATTGAGCCCCCCCCCCAAGCAGGGGGGGGGGGTTAGTTTCCTATTCAGACGGGCTGCAACCCCTCCCCCACATCAAGCTTCATGA